GTATATGCATATTCTGTCAGTTACCCGTTTGCAGGGTTGTTATCTGGAACTGGGATCAGGGTAGATGTTTAGTATTCCATCGAACATCGTCACTGCCGCAGCGTTGAACAAATGTCCCTTGATAAATTGCTTTTGCTCCAAATAATAGAAAATAGTCAATGAGTGAATTTGTCTGGCGTAGGACTTAGCGTTTTTTTCCCCATCGTGCATCTCAACCATCAACTTCACTTTCTGCTTCTTTGGTATCGCCATGAACTTTCGTTATCATCACTCAGGTCTGTGTTATTCTTTTCATTCGCTCTTTCTGCCATGTTCCTAAAATAATGAACTTAGGCCTGTATGGGGAATCCAGACAGCCGGCCTTTCCTTTGGATCGACCTTCATTTACAGGTATTGGTCGGATATTCCTCATATCAAGTAGTGAACTCACCTATGATTCTTTTCCCAGAAATTGAATCACGGTCATCCTCTCCAACAATTTCCTCACCTTCTATGTCAGATCCCGGCTCACCAACTGAATTATGTGTGTTGATTTCCAATTTGTTGACCTTTATATGTTGATTTCTTGTTATTAGCATCCATGCCCTTGTTCGTAGATGGACCTGCTCTTCGTACATTTTTCAGTGATTCAGTTGCAAAGGGCCGAGAGTCGGTTTCCTCAGCTCAAGCAACTTTATCTAATCCACCATCGTTTCTCTGGCAAATGACATCAGAGCAACTGGTACAGTTTGGTCAGACGAACCCTGAGCAGTTCAAGACGATCCAATCTCACATCTGTGAGTTGGCAGACCTTTATCGTTTGAAAACTAGTATGTCGCTACTTTGTCATCTTCATTTGTTATCGTTTTGAGCAACCATAGTTCCAGAGAATGCCACCTTCGAGTATCCAACAAACATTCTCCTGCATATACCGCTAGACATCCAGAAGCTTATTCTGGATAACTTGGCCATTCCAGCCTTGCTCAGGCTATCAAAATGCTGCCGTTATCTATCGCATGCAGTTAATGCATATATCACAGCACGAATTGAGGGCATTCTAACCTCATTTTCAATTGATCCACACAAGCTTCTGGAAGGCATGGAGACCTGTGGTGCATTTATTGGGGGGTCTGTTGCACTTCTGGCAGTGCTGGCAAATGTCGACAGTTTTGCCCCAAATGATCTAGATATATATGTTCCAGAAGCTCATGCTGAAACCTTGGCCAAGCGCATTTTATCCAGGTTCAAATCTGTTGGCGGTCACTCGCCAATCTATGTTTTGAATCCTGCTATCACTCACGTTGAATGGTACACTTCCACTTTCCATCCCCTCATTCGCATCAATCTTATTGCAACCAAGTCCGCGTCGCCCTTGGAGGCCCTATTCCATTCCGGTGCATCCATTACCATGAACGCTATAACTGGGCGAGGAATTTTCACTGCTTATGCTGATCTAACAGCCCGTAAAATCAGCTTGCTACCTTTCAGTTTATCCCTGCCCACCGCCAAACTCTTTCGTGCAGTCAGAAACAGATCACCTTTGCCCCAGGATGAGGCACATACCATCCTCGCTCACTTTGGAATTTCAGTACCAGTTACAGCATTGCCTTGGGAGTTGATGGAACTTCTTGTTAAAAAGTATAAATCGAGAGTTGGGGTTACCTTTATCCGTGATCTAGCAGCGATCAAGGACCATGTCTGTGGAGAGGATCCATCTTGCAGCTTTACCCTGAGGACTTCTGCTGATTCAGGATGTGCCTTCTTCCCCTTCAGACCGCTTTCACCTCTTCCTACTTTGACACTCGCCATGCCCGTCACTCCTGTCGTGCCCAAAGTAGTAGAAAATCCGATCCGCTGGAGTGTGGTTACTCCAAAGCTTATCTCGTGGTGTGTCGGTGGCTGTAGATGTGCTGGTGATGGTGTTAAACTCCCTAGCCTGGTGTCTAGCCTCCCAGCTGATTATGTGTTGTAGATAGCTTGCATGTCTCTTTATTTATAATTGTTTGCATCCAATGCTTTCATCCTCGTACACAGTTTACGGATTTGGGTTCAGATTATAAGTTTAGTGGCACTATCGTTGCAGGCACCTGTGAAGTACAAATATGGTATAGTTCGTCTACTACCCTTGTTTTTCACACCCCCTTTGATCTTTTAAACAGTCTTGGGCTCGATCTAATGCACATTCTATGCTTCCCTCGGAAATTCTCTCATTACAGGGTCTAGCACTTCTGGTGTTTTTACAAATGCAGGGTTTCTGGTCTCCACCTCCTTGATGTCCCTCTTTGTTTCAGCTATATCCTTTTGATACAAATTAAATTCTGTGTCATATAAATGAGGATTGATTTTCACTCCTCTGTGTACATTCCCCTTCTTTTCCTTCTTCGCTTTCACTTCATGGTTTCTACTCGTCGCAAGAAGGCTGCGGTTTCTACTGAGTTCATTGATGACTCCGATGAGTCAGATGGAAACCAGACTTACCAAGAGGAGGGGTACGTTAGGCTGCACGTTCCTTGTTTGCAGTTTTCTCACCAAACTTTATTCAAGTTCGTCTGATGAGGAAGACGAGGACAATGACAATGATGAAGAGGAAGAAGAGGCTGTGTTCGCTACTCATTTTCTCTCATATTTGACGTATTTAACTCTATTTTTTGTTTAGCATGAGTGAGCCGGAGATTGTGGAGGTACCCTCCACCCCACGTAAACGTGGAAGACCCCCCAAGATTCCTGCTACACCTACCCCATCAAAGTTTGTTATTTATTTTCATGTCAATGAAAATCTAACCGTTGTGTTCAGAGGGAAAAAGAGAACAATCAATGAGGTCGCTGGTTCTGATTCAGAAGCCTCTTTCATTGCAAGGTATGTTCAATTCATCTCATGATTTTTTTTGTGTCTCATATCAAAATTTAAAGCCCCATACATGACAGTCCAAAGAAACCTAGGGTAGCCCCTTCTACAACTAAGAATCCTCCTGCCACTCCGTCCAAAAAGACTCCAGCTAAGGCCAAGGTGGCTAATAAGACGAAGACTCCCACCAAGGCCAAGACAACTCCGGCTGTGAGTAACAAGGCGACCTCACCTAGCAAGGTGGCTTCCACTAAGAAGAGTAAAGTGTATGTCAACTTTTGTCCTCGCATCCATATAAAATTATTGATTGTATCCTCGCTCTAGCGCTGCTTCTAACAATGATAATGAACAGGAATCTGTGGTCAGTGACGATGACCCAAGGTAATTTTGCATACTATTTCTGAGTGGTGATCTCATAACCTTATGTTGTTTAGCGAATCCGGTCATGATTCTCCAACACCAACTGGAAAAAAGTTGGTTTTATTCTTTCAGATTGTAACCAGATTTAACTTCATTTGCTTTTTACCTTAGAAATAAAGCTCATCAAGTGATCTTCGACACTTCTGTGTAAGCTTGACTTAAAGCTATTCGGTGCCCATGTTGAATTTTAGTCAGGTTGAAGACAAAAGCCAGCATTGAGAAATCGAAGAAAAAGAAAACTGCTCAAGATGTCTTTGACAAGGATGAGGTCATGTCCGATGGTGACAAGACAGATGACGGGTTTGTGCTTTATTGAATTTTTTTATACTTTCAACCCATGTTAACCCATTATCAGCGAAAAAGAGATTGTTTATTTAGAAGACATTGATCGTGATCCTTCGCCCAGGCAATTATTTCTATCCTTTTACTTGAACTTTGTCTTATTTGCAACCCAAGTTATCCGAAGTTGTCTAAATGTGGAGTTGCCGCCTCTGATCTTATCGACCCTCTTCTTAAGGAGACGTATAAGAAGTTAACCAAGCTGCCTGGGCAAGTTATCAATAAGTATAATGTGTCCTCATACATCTTACTTGAACCTTATAAATCTAGCGGCTTGAAGTTTATATCATGGAAGGACTCTAACAACGACCAAGAAGATGACAATGGAAATGGGATGATACTTTTCTCTAGCATTGGAGACGTTCACCCCAATATCAATCTGAAGTATGTCTTCTTTCAAATTTTCTCTAACAGAGAGACTCACATTTGCGTCTGATTTATAGGTACATTAAAGGATTAGTCGTGTTCGAGAAGGACTACACGTCCAATATCGTCAACCTTTCTCGCATTGATCCATCACTTCTGGTCTCTAAGAAGACATCCGGTCAAACAAAGGGTGGGCCTCTCGTGTTCATACGGGATCGCAAGACACCTGCCTTGTGTGTTACGCTTGGAATCATCGTTGATGACCAGACCGAATCACCTCGTCAACGCGGTGACAAGGAGGTCAAATTCATCACCGCAAAGCTTCTTGCTTATGAGTATGAGCGTATGGTCGCGGTGTTGTGCATGACCTTTAAGAGGGGGTCTGTGAGAGTTCAGCTGGCAGATAGCACCCTGACCTTTGCGACACGTTCAGCTGGTAAGCATTTCCTGTCTTCAAGTCTGCATTACTTATCCAATCTACTAGAGCCAAAATCAGGCTCTTCTCCAGTCAAAGGATTTACGACGGTTCGGAGCAAAGCCACTATGTCGAATGATACCCCAAATCGGAAATTTCGATATTCATCGTCTCTGGGCCCTCATGACTTAGGTAAAAAAATAACATTGATTTTGGTTTATATTGCGGACAATCAATGCCTTTCAGTCCCCATTCTAGATGCTCGAACCAAGCATATCAAGATGCCATCTGGCCTTGGATCCATTGAAAAAGATCTTCCCCCATTCGGTCGTCAAGTCCCCACTGGTTCCATAGCCCTCATTGGATATACTGTTGGTTCCTATAACTCCAAGGCAAATCCCAACGATGTATCTTTGTCAATGAATGTGCTTTGGGTTGCAGTGCTTGCTGCTAGTGAAAACACTTTGCAAGTCTATCATTATCTTCATTCTTATTTGTGCTCAACATTGCATTTCAGGTAGCCCTACTTTTCTCAGTCTCTTTCACGATGACCCAGTGTTTCGAATGATGGAGGCTATGAAGTAGAATTTTGTGCTTGCTTTCCTTCATATCCAACTACCGTATTGCATCTATATCGTATTCAACTACTTGACCTGTCAGATACAATGTATGTTCCGGTACTCAACTGCCGTTACCTTTACATATTTGTATAGAATTTCCTGTGTTTCACCTATGATTGACTAGATAAATAGCCTGGTGTCAATTGGACTTCAAAAAACTCTGAAAGGTTATGAAGTATGTTGACCAAATAAGTCCAAATTATGACGTGCGCCAAGGATCGTCTGAACCTGCGCTGGGGTTCAGACGATCCTTGGCGCACATCATAATTTGGTGTTGTTTGGTCATTGTAAATATATTTAATATCCAGAGTGAGCTCCTTTTTATTTCAAAACTACTCAATTATATCGCTGTGCACAACTAAACTGTAGGAAGTACAAGGTAATAACTAGCTACTTTGCATTTTTCTTAGAGTATATCCGTTTATACTTACAAAGACTATGCTCCCCAGTCAAGACATCATATGTCATGACAGACTTTTCTTCAGAAGTAAGCTCGCGATTGACAAAGGCATCGAGATCAGCAAATGCTTGAGGCACCGTCGTGTCCTCATCAATCAGCCCAAGCATGATCATAGCATCCAATGCACCCTTCCCCACCTTTTCAATGAGTTTACCCCAGTCAAGAGCAGAAGGCATGGGAAGTACATCTGCATAGACCAGATCTCCTATGATAAGAATGGCTGTTAGTGAGCCTATGTTGACAAAGACCTTCTTTGGAGTGGATTTGTTGTTGCCTTTTGCTGACTGCCAAGATCCCCTCTTTCGACTTGATGTTGACCTTCCACCGCCAGCAGATGACTGGAGCAGGAAGTCATAAATGTCAAAAATAGTCAAGTCCTTCTTATTCATCAGTGGCTCCCATAGATCCCTTTTTTCCCAGTATTCTTCAACCCGATCGATGCTTCGGTCTCCTTGAAAAGACCCATAGGCAGTCTTGACAATGAAATAGCTTTCTGCTTTGCCTTTGCTAAACGCTTTCCACTGATCCAGATCCTCGAAATGACGTCCATTGTCACGAGCAAACTCTGAGCCAAAGAAAACTCCACGGAAGCACAGAACATTCCAGAAACCAATTGGTGTCTTCAGCCATTCTGGATCATCATATATCAAATTTCGTGAAATAATACGAGTGGGAGCATGTTCTCTGTATGGCATGAATTTGTCAGGTGAATTTGCCATCTTCTTGAGAAATTTGTCAGAGCTGTTCACATGCACAGAGAGTCCCTGCTCCAAAAGGGGCAGCCCACGCCTCAGAAAGTTGACAAAAAGCATTCTTCTGTCATCTTTGGACTGGGGAAGTGATGATGTGTCCGAGTTGAATCCTTTGGTCTTGGACCGTTTCTTGGCTCCAGAACTAGTGTTTCCTGCTCTGAATTCAGAACGTGCATTGGTGAATACAAGCTGTGCCTTCTCAATGGCCTTGCGATCAATCTGACTCTCTTTTATCCACGTCATGACAGTCTCATGCAGTACCTCAAACTTCTCCGTCAACCATGAATGTGGTTTTGCCAATGGATGCTGTCGCAAAGAAGCTTCAAACTGTCTCCAAATTGGATGTTTTTCAGTTCGATTATTGCTTCCTTGATTTCTGCCCTCCAATGTAAGAAGTGGGCTTTGAAATGCAGTCCAAACAGGCTCCAGTAAAAAAATGGAGTGCCGATCAATGACCTTGTTGATAGTGGCAATGAACATCCACTGAGAAATTGCTTTGGGGGTAGTTGGAAAATGCAGCCAGGAACGAATGATGTCTGTGGCTGCAGTTGCCAGCTGCTCCTTTTGTGCATCTGTGTCATATAACACACGTCCAATTTTGTGCTGGTGAGTTACAGGCTCTTCCAGATGTGGAAGATACTTTGTCGAAGGAAAGGGTACAATCTCTGATTTGTGTAGGCCACTCAGATACAATCCCTTCAGATCTTTGACCAGCTGGTGCACCCAGCTAGGTTTGTAGTCTGCTGGGGCAGAAGTCTGATTCACTGAAGGCTCGGTATTGATTGCCTCCCAGACAATGGTTTCAACCCAAGTATAAGGTGCTGCAATGCCTGTCATATAAATTAGCCTACAGGCGTAGAGCTCAACTGTTGAAAGTTGCATGGATTTCAAGAGGATATCGTGTTTTGGCCATATTTTTGCAATGATCTGTGGATGATCTGAAGCCCATGGAGAGATGGTCAAAGATCGAATGGATTGCTCTATACTGATGGAGTTGGCTGCCACTTCAGTTTGGTTCATGCGTTCTTGTGATCGCAATGAACAAAGAGATCCCAAAAATTGGTCAGCACAGCTGTCAATTGCATTGAAGTCGATAGTGCCCAGAAATGCATCTATGGGATTGAGATGTTCTGTATTGCATTAGTATTTTTTCTCATATGAATGACTAGATGGCATTACCTGTTGGTCCATCATCTTCATTGTCTGAGTCTATCTCACTTTCTCCTTCACTATTATATATGTGCCTTTTTTCAAAGGGTTCTTCTTCATCCAAGTCCTCTTCCTCATTGAAGGGCTCTTCTTCATCCAAGTGTTCCCTGTCATTCAAGGGTTCTTTGTCATCCAAGGCCTCCTGATCAGCCCAGGTCCTTTCATCTTCTAAATCCCAGGGCTCTTCATCCTCTAACTCATCACCTGTGAAGAAAACATCAGTTGCAAGTCTACTTAAATTTACTTCAACCAACCATAATGATCAGCCAAAGAGGTGTTTGCTTTAGGAGACTCCAAATCCATCTGATGATCCTCCTGTTCATGATTTCCATCTTGACTATCTGAAAGAGCTTTTATCAGCCACCCTTCACCCTGATTTGACTGATCACACCTTCTCCTCCAGAAGAGTAATT